CCACGAAAAGAAGATGTAACTTTTCTACCAACTTTTGGCCACCATGCTTATACACTTCGGGTGGAATACGATCCTTAGGAGTAGGTAATTTGCCAGCTGAGATTTGCTTGATGGAGTCACTTACCTCTTGATAAGTAGGTTGAAAAGACAACCCCGGAATTTCTGGATTTTGCTCAACTGATGTAATGGCTTCCTCATCAGTAACCGAAGTGGTGTTTAACACAGTTTCGAAATGCTCTTTCCAGCGATCTAAAATTTCTGACTTATCTGTCAAGATAGTTTCACCATCTGCTGTGGAGATTGGAGCAATACCACTTTTCAGAGGACCTAAAATGCTATTGAGGCCAGCATAGAATGCATTTAGATCCTTTCTATCTGAAGCTTCTTGGAGTTCAGTAGCCTTTTCAGACCATCAACGCTATTTCATGGCACTGAGAGCTCGTTGACTTTTGCACTTCTTGTAAGCAATCTTCTTATCGGACGAGTTCTTGAGCTCAATCCATGATTTATGAGAAGAGTGCAATTGATCTATAAGCTTCTGAACTTTTGTATTATGGTCAGCAAACCAGTCTTGATGTTTACGATGTGGTAGGCTGAGAACCGCCAAGGATGTAGAATATGTTGCGTCACGCAGAGCCTTCCAAGATGATTCGATATCATTGGTAATGTTTACAGAATCAAGTGCAGCATCAAGTTTTTCTGAGAGCTCAATTTTCGTTTCAGTTGATTTAAGGGGCAGTACGTTAATGCGCCTGGGCACTGTAGATTTTATAATCGTTCGCTTTTGCAGATGCAGTGTAGTAGAGCATGATCAGACAGATAACATGTTGTGTGGAATGAACACGTTATCTTAACATCTTTTATGTCCCGTCTTTTGGTGATGAGGCAGGCTTTCTAACGAGGATGCATCCACGTGGTCTTACGACAGCTGGGTTGCTGGTAGAAGGTATTAGTAATACTAAAGTCAAATTCCTTGCAAATAGCGAGAAGGCATAATCCATTAGAAATCGCATGACAAATACCATGGTATATATATATATATATATATATATATATATATATATATATATATATATATATATATATATATATATATAGTTTTAAGGTATATTTATGGGATAAAGTGCTCAATATAAGGGATAGAGTGTATGTAATTTTAAAAGTAGACCTCGAAGAGTCGACAGACTGTTTCGTGCTGAAAAGAATCTTCAGACCACCACGATTTCGTTTAACATGAAGCAGTCTGTTGCCTTTGAGTGCCTACACACACACACACACACGTACACAAACATATATATATATATATATATATATATATATATATATATATATATATATATATATATATATATATATATATATATAAGCAAATATATGGATATAGATCCGATAGTATGAAGAAAATATACAGAAAAACAAACAAAAATCATAATATTAATACAGCATAGTTTTTTGGTTGTTTTTTCTGCATATTTTTTCATATATATATATATATATATATATATATATATATATATATATATATATATATATATATATATATATATATATATATAACCTTGTGCAAATTAATTGAAACAAAACGAATAATTTCGTTATTATTTACTTTTAGTCGTAGTTTTCCAATGAAACATGATCTATTGCACCTGTTAGTAGATATTATTTCCATTCCACAAAGTCTTTCCTTGCAGATTGATCACACATTCTCCACTGGATATAAATCAGGAGACTTTCCGGCACAATCTATAGTACTTTCATTTTACCACTGAAAATGCTAGGCAATGTGTTCGTGCAACGTTACAATATTCGTCCGGTTGCTGGAAGTTACGTCCATCGCAGACAATAGGTGTAGGAAAACTAATCGACAGTCAAGACACTAGTGTCTATACGGGATAAAAATCTGATGCAATTACGGATGATGCAGTATTTTTCAATGCCAAACAATTTTCATAATACACCCCGAAAATAGATTCATATTACTGCACACCACTGCAAATCACGTAATCAGTGGAACAAATTGAAATCGATTACACCGTCACTTCAGGTAAAAATGACCGTATGTTGAAAGAAATGAAACTAAACCGGTTGTTTCAATTAATTTTCACAAGGGTATATATATATATATATATATATATATATATATATATATATATATATATATATAGTTGAATATCAAATGTAGGAATCCTTCAAAATGATAAAAAGAAATAAAGAACAAAGTAGAAAACGAATCTCAATCTAACATGTTTCACCTTTATCAAGAGATCGAGAATAGAAATGAAAAAGCATAGAGACAGTGTAGGAAAGTTATGATTTTTGGTAGTTCTCATTGGTCAGTCACACGTCACGTGTATAAACGCAATAGTGTGTGATAGTGTAAGAGTGTGTAACTAAAGAAAGTCTTGTGTGTGTACGTGTATGTAGGAAGGTAACGTTAATTTATCTACGTGTATAGGTGTATATGTGAGCAAAATTTACATAGGTCACCCACGTATTTTTTCGATGAAATGTAGCGATATATTGCAAAATAGTTTTGTATTTGGCTGGATTTTTATATTCTCATTTATGTGTGTGGGGGAAAATCTGTGGGCGTCAAGTCTGTGCGGGTTGCTGAAAGAAAATAAGTTATTGCAATTTTTTTTAAGTATTTCACCCCAAGCAATGCGAGAGTGCCACTAGCACGCAGGGGTTTGCAGATGGTTAAAGGGAGGGAAAAGACTGTGTACAGAAATGATAGAGAAAAGATAAAAGAAGAACGAGGATCAAGAAAACAGAAGATGGCGATTGACCTTGTATTTAAATTTTTGAAGGGTGTAGTTATCATAAAAGCAAGTAAGAGGAAGTTCCACTGTCTTGAATCGCGAGAAAAGAAACTGCTGGATGAGAAGTGGCGGTTGCGTTTAACTATTTCAACAGTAAAAAGGTGAGACCTACCTGCCAATCCAGTAGCATGCATAAATCCATGTAATCGTGGCATCAGAGAAGATAGTTCATTAGAACAGTTGCCATGAAAATATTTGTAAAAAAAAAACAGAGGGGACCACGGAAGGAAAACACGGAACACGGATTAGAGGTAAGAAAGATATATTAAACAGAAAGGTTACAAGACAGTGTAAGTGTCAGCGGAGCTTACTATGTGCTAGTGTCCAATATTGGTAGTCGTACGCGGCTGATACTACGGTATTAGAATATCTCTCTCTCTCTATCTTTTTCCTCCTCTTCTCCTAGAGTGTTATATCACATGCTTTATATAGTCGTGGAAGAGTCCATGTTGTAGGTATGTTACGGTCTCACACAAATGAGATAGTGACTCAAGTCAGGGCTGATTACATTGCAGATTTTCTCGAGAACTTCGCGATGAACATGAGGGGCACCAGGATAGTTATGGTAAAATTATTCAGTGCGTGGACGAATCGTAGATTTGTATGGATTCTTGCGAGAACAAACCTTCTGGCACAACAGAGTGATCCGATTTTACTTGCAGAAGATGGTAGCTTTTGGTTTAATGTAATTGTTCCAAGTCATTGGAAAACGTGAGGCCAAGAAAACACAGGGAAACACTGTCAAGGAGTCGAACATCAATCATGCTGATGGGAAACAGGTAAGTTGCTATGTGGCGCTTAAATAAGATCAGTTTAGTTTTGGAGGCATTGATGTGTAGAAGCCATTTATTATCCCAGTTAGCCACTGATTGGAGATTCTTTCCAAAAGTAGCGACAATTTGTAAGCACTGCCGGATTTACTATTGCTAGGCGTATATGGTAGTGCCGTCAGCATAGATGCCAATCTGAGAACTGATGACATCAGGAAAATCATTGATGTAGATCAGAAACACTGTAGGGAAAAAGGCAGGGCTTTGGGGAACTCCTGAGTGTGTAGTTTTCTTTAGATTTAACATGCATAGTTTTGTAAATGGAAATTTGTAAAATCCTCATTATTTTAGACGTAAGTTAAATTCATAAATAATGGATATGATGTAATGTTAATATAAGGTAATGTTTTAAGCGAGTTTTTTTTATAGTTGATAGTAATGCTGTGAATATAATTTCAAAATGGTTTCTCCTTAAAGAATTATGTTTTATTTTTGTTTTTTGTTTTTTTAATTAGCCTGGCATTAGTGAAGTCAAAGTTATGCCCCAAGTCATTTCGATGTAAGAGGAGAGGGAATGTTTCTCTAAACACAAGTCCCTCTGGTGTTCATAGATACGAGTTTTAGATGACGTGAGGTCTAATTCGTTAGCGAGTTTAGTCGAAAGGGTGTTGGAGGGCAAGACTATGAATTTTGTGCAATTTTCAGGAGTATATATATATTTTTTGGTTGTGAGTTCATTTTTAGCGTTGAGAAGGAAATGGTGTTTGAATGTTTTCTCAATATATCCCTCTTCTTCATTTAAGCATACAAGGCAACATTTTCTAATTCTCTGAAGAAAATCCCTGTGATTATTCCAGATCTTATTTTCTGTTTATGGTAAGAATAGAAACTAATTAGGTCATTTTTTTGTGGGTTTTCGGTAAAATTTTAAATATAATATATCATTGCAAATTTTGAAGCTGCGTTGGTAGGAGTGTGACCGAGGGGTATTAATCACGCCGAACTGGCAAAACATATTCAAGTCAGAAAGAAACAGGGATAAAGAAGTCAGAACTTCAGGAGGGAAGAATATAGTTATTTTTCAAGCGTAGCTTAGATGTGGTACATGGCCGAAAGCATGTGGGTACACAGTGAGGATCGAACTCACTACTCAGCCGTAATTGTTCTAGCGAGACAAGCTTGCTAACCATTACACCACGTCGAGGTGCCCAGGAGAGAAGAATATAGGAAGAAGGAAAAGAGGTAGGAAAATTTATATAAAAGAAAATAATAAAAAGAATTAACTTTTTTAAAAAACTTTTTTGCAACTCAGTTTCATAAGGAGTGAGAATAAAGCATGAAAGATGAAAAAAGAAAAGAAAATATACATAAAAGTAGAAAGAGGGAGAGAGGAAGCAAGAGACATACATTAAGAAAGAAAGTAAATTAGAAAGAAAGAAAGAAAGAAAGAAAGAAAGAAAGAAAGAAAGAAAGAAAAAGAAAGAAAGAAAAAGAAAGAAAAGCGATTAATGAATGACTGAAAGAATTAAAGTAGTCAGGGAGGAAAGAAGAAAATATAAAGAAAGGAACGAAGAGAGCGTAATAAGAAAAAAGAAAGAAACGGAACAATAGATGGAATTATACAATTAAGAAAAGAAAAAACGATAGAGAGAGAATGTGTGTGTGCGTAAGTGAAAGAAAACAACTGAACAAACGAAAGAAAGAATGGTTGAAAGAGGAAAGGAAAGAAGGAAAGATGAAGAATGGAACTAATAAAGTGAAATAAGAAAGAAAGAATCTAGGAGAAAAAGACAAAGTGTATAGAAATGTGAGAAAGAAAAAGAAGGAAGAAAAAGAATTGAATAAAGAAAGATAGGGCGGTATGAAGGAATAAGGAAGAAAAAGCAATATAAAAATGTTAAATAAAGAAAGAAAAATGAAAGGAATATATAATTAAAAAAAAATCAATGAGAACGAATTTGCTAACACGGGAAACTGAGAAAAACGAAAAAAAAAAGAAATGAATAAAAGCAGCAAATAAGATTAAAAAAATGTGCGAATGAAGGAAAGAAAAGAAAGAAGACGAAACCAAGAACAAATACGAAAAAGAGAAAGGAAGGAATAGATGAGGTAAGATGAGGTCAGAAAATATACAGTAAAAGAGCAAAGTAGGAAATAGGAAAGGAATAAGGTGGAATCCACTTTAAACATAACAATTAAGAGGTGAGTGTCTGGTTTTTTGTTTTTTATGACATATCAACCCATTATTTGTTTAAAACCGACACAAAATCTTACATTGTAAGAAGTTGCGTATAATATCCGGTGTTTCAAAGCGGTCCTTCATCTAAGTATTTAACTTTTCGTCGGCACATGCTCTAGATAGAGGTAGTACCTTTGATGTTTAGCAGTCTGCACCTTCGGGTAAACGAGCATCACTGCTCATCAACCATCACCTAAATCTCTCACGTGACGGCTCTTTTCTGGCTCCTTGCTACGCATACAAATTTTATCCTTCCTTCCTTCCTTCCTTCCTTCCTTCTAATCCAATTTAATCTTTCCTTACTTCCCTCTCCCTCCTTCTTAACCTCCTTTATCTTTCCTTTCTTTTTATCCAATTTAATCTTTCTTTCCTTCTTACCCACCTTTATCTTTCCTTTCCTTCCGTGACATGTACTTGTGCCATACCTGAACATACCTATTTTATTATTAATAGACACTCCCACACATAATGAGTAGTAGTAGTAGTTGCTGTCGCCAGTTGGGCTCAGTGGTGTTGAGTGAGTCAGTCGATGTCGGACATTGAAGTATCAACCATCACAACTAGATTGCTGCGTCATTAACTCTTATTTCAAGTTCCTAACGTTTTGTACGTCGAATCTAATTTAGGACTATTTATTGAAATACTGTGAAAACTACTCTACAACAACTTGAATATGTGATTCATGACTTGTGCCTTCTTCATGTCGTGAATATCAAAAAAGGATTCATTTGAAAGAATTAAAAAACGAATCAATAAATCAATGTTTTTAGTTACTGTTTGAATAAACACTTTGCAAGTTCAACCACTTAAAATACACATGAAAATTTTATTATTTCTTAAGAAATATATGAGCTTAACAACTTTAACGAAATAATACAATACCAATCATAACTATGAAATCTGACTTGTATTTATGTAAGATAATACAAATCCTCTACAAGCAAGGCACCAATCTGCCACTGGGTGGTATGCCACTAGCGTTTACCGCTGAAGTAAAGGACCTGGAAAATGTAGGACTTAAACGGGGCATGTAGAAAGGCGTTCTGAAGGGCTTGGATGCTAACATAGTGAATTGGAAATGTGAGAGATTGATCGTATTCCCCCGTCTACATCTGGATATGTTAACCACCTGGAGAGACAGTTTTTTTTCATACTGTGCCATCTTCACGATCAGGTGATATTGTTTGTGATTTTCAGCAAGGTATGCAAATCTGCAGCTGGATTGAAAAGACACATGGCCGTGCACAAGAACAGATATGACAGCTAGATCCGATCAATCCTATGAAGAGACTAGAGTTTATTTATTATTTATCATTCAACCTATTCAAGTCGGCTGCTGGTTTTAAGGGTCACCTTCGTGGCCATTCAAGAAGCTGCAGCGAGGGGCAGGGGAGGATATGTTGATGCGCGAGACGGCTATTGTCTATGAAGATAGATCAATCATAACGTATATATATATATAAATATAATAATATAGTATTTTAGATATTTAAATTTAAAATATATAAATATATATATATATATATATATATATATATATATAGAATAAGATTAACCATATTTGAAGCCCCTTAACAATCTCGATGTATTTTATAAAAAAAATAAAAATGCCAATGTATTGTAGTGTATTTCATGTATTCCCCTGAAAAAAAAAAGCAGACATTATAACACGTCCTCATATAAGGAAGCCAGGATGGACAGCAAGAAATTACAAACCCACACCTAACACTTAACCTATATTTACACTTTGTCATACTTAAACTAGACTTGCATCCTGATTTGTCAAAAAGGCAACACCCTTTTAAAATTTCCTAATCGCTCTCACCCCCATACAACTTAAAATATATAATACAATTTAGCTTAAAAAAAGTAAATCATTTTTCTTTTAAACTATTCGACATCCCTTGAGAATGGAACAAAAACTTTAATTTTAAGTTTATAATATATTTTAATATTTATATTTAATATATACTTAGTCCATGTAATAAATTCGTTGGTACATTATCCATATTTTAATTATATTCTTACATATTTAATATGAATTATCTAAATATGATTTATTGTTAAACTTTTAATTTTATGTAATTTTTAAGTATAATTTCTTATTTTTTTAAGCTAACTTTTTTTTTTGTCATTGGGGTTTTTATATAAAATTCCTTTTCGGTCCTCTTTTAGTTTCAGTTTAACATACCATTCTTCATATTACTCCAATATAATATCATAAGGTTAATATTCAGGCTAATTTTATAAAACCACTTCCCTTTAAGGCAACTGCCTTCAATCCTCCTCCTCCTCTTCTTCTTCTTCTTCTTCTTCTTCTTCTTCTTCTGCTTCTTCTTCTTCTTCTTCTTGTTCGTCTGACTGAACATTGAAATGGATGAATTCTGTATTAATGTTTTGACTGCTGTCAAAGTTAAATACAAATTTCTAATTCTTACATGAACACAGTCTATACACCAGAGTTGAATAAGACTAGCATACTTCTCGTTGGTTGAAATAGACCTATACCCCCTCATATGAGGTAATTTTGGATTTTGTTGTTATATATATATATATATATATATATAGATAGATAGATAGATAGATAGATAGAGAGAGAGAGAGAGAGAGAGAGAGAGAGAGAGAGCTGTTTCTATGAAATGTATACGACAAAGGTGTAAAAATTCAGCGGATATCATGTTTTCACTAATTAAGGTCTACCCCTACAGACATGCACTTTAACATGTATATAACAATAATTATTGCTCATGACGTCTAGGTGGTCTTTTCAAGGTACACACGCCTACCATGGTGCGTATTTAATTCCTGTTGCAGACAAGCGCTCAGTCGTATTTGTGTATTTCAACACAGAGAGAAAACACGTGTTGTTTACCCAGTAAATAGGCTCAGCGAACCTTGGTTACAGTTTCAAAGAGAGTGTTTAACATGTTTTCATCAAACACTAAACAAAACCAGTACGGTCGAACTCTCGGTCTCAATGACGTGTTCCGAACAGCTTTCTTCTACCATCTTTAACTCACAATCATTTAGCAAAAGGGTGAAACGGTTTTCCGGTTCTCACCTAATCTTGTCTCCTGCTTGCATTTTTTCCTCAGGTTGATATTTTCAAGAAGCCATCAATTTGACGTATGTTCGGAACACTCTAACATTTGGAACAAGTGCTGATATTGCCATAGGATCCAACCAAATATGTTAGCTCTATCTCTGATATTGAGCGCTTTCTAATAAGTACCGCGCATATAATATATAAATAATTATACATATATATATTTATTTATATTTATATATATATATTATATACATATATATATATATATATATATATATATATATATGTATGATCTCATCAATTTACAGTTCAAATGGCAACCGAAACCGTGAGTTCTATACTAATAATTTCGCAGTTTTCGTTTGTGCAACTCTCTTCCCTCTTCTTGCTTCCCAGTCAAATTTGCTATTCAAAAATTCAAATGCAATTTCAATCTTTGCCTATTATTTTGGTAATTCTTGTTCGTTTATTTTCCTTTGTTCTTAATAGTATATTTTTCTCATATTCCCAAAAACTCAGTAACTGCACGAGTCCTAATGTCTTGCTTGAAAATGCATACACACTCACACACACACTCATATATAATATATATATATATATATATATATATATAAAGAGAGTGAGAGAGAGACGACATAGTCAACACTCAAAGGTAACAGACTGCTTTATGTTAAACTAAATCGTGGTGGTCTGAAGATTCTTTTCAGCACGACTCTTCGTGGTGACTTTATGTCTACTTTTATAATTACATACACTCTGTCTCTTATATTGAGCACTTTATTTCATAAATATGCCTTAAAACTACACACACACACACACACACACACACACACACACATATATATATATATATATATATATATATATATTAGTTGATTTAAAATATGGTTTCTTCGCTACACAATAATAACCATGTCTTCAAAACTGATGCTAAAAACTTCAAATTTAATTATATAATTAAATTAAAAGCATTAGTTTTGTTTCAGCTTCAAGCGAATTTTGGAATAACTTATTTTTAAATTTACTGAGTTTTAAACGCAAATATAAATTCATAATTTCTAGTTTCCAAGGATACAGAGAAATCCAACCATTTAGACTGGGGTGGTAGCGTGTTGATTTTTATTAACTATTATTGTATCAATTATGAGTTACATTCGGAAAAGAGGTTAAGTTTAGGGAGGGTAGGTGTGTATTTTTCAATGAATTCTGACATCCGTTAAACGCATGTCGTTTGTTGTTGTGTTTTTTTTAATTATTATTATTAAAGAGCAAAAGTTTTTCGCCATTTTTCCGCTAAATTCTTCGTACTTGCATACTTAAAGATTCTTTCTAAAAGGGGTTTTTGTGTTAATTGTATAATTAAAGTAAAAGCACCGGATTATATATCTTACTGTTCTTTCGTTTTATTATAATATATATATATATATATACGTAAATGACGGTTCAGTATAGGATGCAGGTTCTAATCCTGTCAAAGAACGAATATTTTCTATGAAAATTTCTCGGACATTCAGGCCGGTAAATGTTATTTAATACTGTTTATCATAAACAGAGCATTTGCTTAAATACTTGTATCTATAAATAACAACGTTAAACATAAAAAAATGTCTTTAATAAATAAATTGTCGGACCTTGTCCATTTCTTAATATATATATATTAAATAAAAACAGACCACTTTAAGGTTCCATGTAATAAATTATTTCACCACAGCCCTTTTTAAAGGACTGCGGATCATCAGTCTTTATTTTCTCTTGATTTAAATTGAGCTCTCTATATTTTATCCTCCTTGGGTCTACCCATGCGGATTACCTAGTTTTTCATAGTATATATATATATATATATATATATATATATATATATATATATATATATATATATATATATATATATATAAACCTGTTGTAAAAAAAAATTGTCCAAATCGTGTTCCAGAATAATTGTCCATCCCACAAAATATCTGAAAAAACGACTATACTAATTGAGTTTCTTTTTCCCATGTTTTAATATAAGACTTTAGCCACATAGATACCATTTGCATTAAGAATCAATGAAAAAACCTTTCAGTTTTTATCTCTGGAGGGTGTGGAATAAACATTTGTAAATATGTACATAAGCCTTCTTAAGTGAAGAAACGCGTATATGTATGCTAATACTGATATTTCTGTGTACTGGGTGTGCTTAGGGAATGGAGAGTGTGTGATTACTCACTTAAACTCCGATATAAAAGGAAAATGTATTCGTGGAGATGACAATGGTTAAGAAGATGAACAGTATTTTCGTGTTTCCTTTTAGTGACACCAAACATATTGATTTTTCTTCTGAAATGAAAAGTCACGGACTCAGAAAGAGACAAATTCTTCCCAATCCACCCAAAATAAAAACCAATTATATACTTGTTTTTAAAAGGCACATGATATACGTTCGGAAAAAATTCGCAGACGCAGGAGGGAACATCTGTAGACGATTATACTTAGGGTTTATTAACTTTCCTTTTTTAGATACTTTATAGACAAATATGGTTAAAAAGTGTTCTGCTAATAAAAAAAGCTCAACCCTGATGAAAAATAATTGTAATTCTTGTATATTTTCTGCGCCATATTTTCGTATTTTATTTTTTGTGTCTTCTCTTTTTGATTGCGTTTTTCGTTTCCTACTTTCGCTTTCTCTTTTTTTTTTTTTTTTACGTGTCTCTTTTTCTATTTCAGCAGAATGAGAACCAGAAAAGTAAGCTTTGCTTCAAATTGTCTAAATATATATATATATATATATATATATATATATATATATATATAGATATAGATATAGATGAATGAATGGGTATATATATATATATATATATATATATATATATAGATATATATCTATATATATATATATAGATATATATATATATAGATATATATATATATATATATATATATATATATATATATATATATTAACAAACAGCCGATCCTTTCGTATAAATGCAGGTGAGCTCCTGTGTTCCATCCTTAGTCCCTTCTATTTTTAATTTTCATTAATGTCTTTCCTGATTGTATCAGCTTAGTATCTACGCTGACGACACAACAATTTACACCTGCCTCAATTATAAGGCTTATCCGTTTGATAAGCTCAAAATGGCTGCCGATGTACAATACTGTCTCAAGTCTGTAGTTAACTGGGACAAAAGATGGCTAGTTAAATTTAAAGACTCCAGAACTAAACTTCTCTCCATTAATCATTTGAGAAACACCTTGCTGCCTTCGATCGGCATGGCTGATGATATCCTTCAGGAAATTGCCTCATTGCGCCTTCTCTGGTTCACGTTCATTGCTGATATGAAGTCGAAAGACGACATTGAATCCATTGCTAGGTCTGCTTGTTAAGAAAGTTGGTTCACGATATTGGGCGAGACATTTTTTCTCTCTCCAGAATCTATATCACATCTCTGTAAGTCTACATTTCATTCATGCTTAGAATATTGCTGCCTCATATGGTCCGATTTCTCCGCTATTTTCATTGAGCTCCTTCATGAGATCCAAAATAAAATCTGCCATATTATTGGTCCTGTTCTGGCAGCTCAGCTCCAGTCATTTTCTATCGCCGTAAGGTTGCCTCCCTATGTCTTTTCTATAAATACTTTCATGGTAATTGGTTGAATAAGCTCTTCGCTATTGTAACTAGAATGTTTTAATCTAAGCGCAGAGCTAGACTGGCGCAGAAATCTCATCAAATTACATTTGAGCTGGCTAGATGTAGCCGTGAATTCTCTATAAACAGTTTCTTCTCTCGCACTTCTCACTTGTGGAACTTACTTTATGCTTTCCAGCCAACTTTAACCTGCAAAAATTAAATGCAATATAATCGCTATCTACTGTCCTGATTCCTCTCTTCTCTTTCTACTCATCATAAATGTTTCTGTTCCTAATTCTTCCACACCCAGTAACCCCTTGTGTTTTAGAGGCACTACTGCCTTGGGGTAATTAAGATTAAAAAAATAAACAACAAATAGGGGACTTTATAAATCTAGCATGTTTCAGTGATATTAAATCTTCGTCAGAGAATGAGAAAAACAAACAGAAAGAGATTCTGATATTTTCAATTTTGTTTGGGTCAGTTCTCATTGTTCAGTTACGTATCACGCGCATTAAAGCCCTAGATAATTCTCTATATATGTAAGTTTGTGAAGATTCTTCTATGTCTAAGCGGGTATCTGATGGTAATTTGTATTCGGGATTGAGCATGTGTGTGTGTCTTGTGACTCTTCTAATGTATTTGTGCGGTCAGCCAGCGAACTGGGGCGTCACTTCATTCTGTGTTATTATATATATATATATATATATATATATATATATATATATATATATTCATGAATTATTCACACAAAAACAAAAGCAAAGGTTAATGATTTAATTGGCGAGAGATCCATCATCGCAAACAATTCAAATAATATACAAAAACCTCCCAATCCGTTATGAATGAATTGTTCCTTGTTTCCATAAATTTCTGCCGTATTAGTTCTTATTTTTACTACAAGATTTCGTCTGTTCCTACAGACATCTTCAGGTATAGAATAGATGTTGTTCTTGTTTTTGCTCTGAGTAATTAGAGGACAACGAAAATATATGTATTGTTGTAACCGAAAATGCTATTGAAAATGAGTTATTGTTTTTGGAGCGCGCAGTAGCAACGCTGAGTTTGATTTTAAATTTTTAAAGGTTGTGCGTTCGTATAAATATGGTGATGAACGAATTTTTTACTGGTAAATTTTCTGTCAAAGTGGCATGAACTATATTGTTCAATAATTACAGTAATTGTAGTAAAAATAAGAACTAATACGGCAGACATTTATAGAAACAAGGATCAATTCATTCATAACGGATTCGGAGGTTTTTGTATATTATTTGAATTGTCTTGCGATGATGGATTTCTCGCCAATTAAATCATTAACTTTTGCTTTTGTTTTTGTGTGAATAATTTATGATTTTGTAAATTGCACGTTTATCGTATATATATATATATATATATATATATATATATATATATATATAT